AGCGCTGCTTGCCCATTGGAACATTGAACCAATCGAACTGACGACCAGCTCTCTCCGCTCCAGCTTTCAGTGCCCGGAATGTCAGGCAGCATTCTTGAGCCGGACGCAACTGGCCATACATCGTATGCAGGACCATAGAGTGCTTTTGCAGCACCCAGTTCTCTTTGATCAAGCAAGAGATGCATTGAGAGGTCTTCCTACTTGTTCACACTGCTTGAAACAATTTCATGATTGGACTCACTTGCGCACTCATATCCAAAATCGTGCCTGTCTCGTTTTTGACTCGTCCAAGGACGATGCTGATGAATTGGTCCGTGTTCAGAGGCAACTTCGAGAACGTATGCTGGCAGCCTCCTGGGATGACATTGCTCATGATGAAAACCTCAGAGGATTTTTGAGCTCCAAGTGCATCCTATGCCAACGTTTCGTTCCCAGGGCTCAGGAGCTGACCGCCCATTTACGACACAGTCACAGCCACTTGGCTGATTGGGCAGTCCAAGCGGGTCGAGAATTCATGCGCCGGCGGCAACGGGATCCATGCTTTCTGTGTCTTCGCCCTCGATGACGACGGGGACACTTGTGCTCCGCAGCAGTGAACATTCAGCTGCACGCCTTGCACCACACGGGTCAGCCAGCAGGAATTCAGGGTCCCTCCAAGGCCACTTTTATGCAGCATCAGCATCACCTATGCAACTTTTCCTGCATGGATGAGAACCATCTCCATTGTCATCAACGTCACCAACATGGGTTGACTTCTATTCCATTCCCTCGGGCTCCACGCAGGGACCATGACCTGGACCAAATTCAACAAGCCTTGAACGAGGGCACCATTTCAATCTACCTGCAGGACTCCACGGTCAAGATGCGCTTGAGCCTTCAATGTCAGCTATGTCCTTTCACGACTACCAGATTGTCCGGTCTCTTCAAGCACCTCTCCTCGGATCTGGCCACTATGTTGCAGCGCTGCTGGCAGGGCACTTGTATCTGCAATCCAGCTCCGGTGGCCAGACGGGGTCATAGCTGTGTTGGCTGGAAACACTTGGCCATGATCTACTACAACTTCATGCCTTTGAAGAGGGCTGTCATCATGCCTTGTGACTTCACCCAAGCTCAACTCCTTGCACCTGTACACGATCAACTGGGTACCCTTCTACCAGGCCTCTTGCGCTTCTTCTTGAACAAGAACTGGTCCGGGATCTTGCAGTCTTCACCTGAGTGTGACCTCCTCAGTCGCCAATGCCTTTTTTGTGCGCAGCAGATTGAGCCGCGTGAGATGCTGTCACATCACGTCCTGCACCATGCCTTTGACAAGCACTATGGACATCATTTTGTTGAGATGTGGAACAAGCAACACCTGACTCAAACTGCATTTGTCACACCATGCAGTCTTTGTCGGATTCAGCTGCCGAAACTCTCCACTGACACCACGACATCATTTCAGCTGCTCAAGCACAACTGTCCAGAGTCCAGTGGTCACTCAGCTGACTGCCCTGTGCTCTGCCCTCGTGGTTCGGGACATAGATGGTTCCGATGGACGTCCAGGACTTTTCGTACCAGCTGCAGGAGACGATGGGAGTCCTGGCACCAATGCTGCTGACCAACAGGGGAGGTGCAAGCGGCAACGAACCCACAGCAAAGAGAAGAGACAGCAACCGACTCCTCAGCAGTTCAGCTCAGCCAGCCCCACTTCAGCAACTTGCTGAAAACAATGATGAATATCCTCATCAAGCACAAGGACCACCTCCATCCAGCCCACTCTGCTTCAGGAGACCAACAAGTGGACACTGGAAATGCAGAACAGCAATCCTCCCTCCACTCCGCTCCGACTGATCCTGACCCGGACCATTTCGCGACACTCTGCTGGAGAGGGCGCAGAAGATCTGCAACGTGGACCACAACTTACCAGCTTGGAGTCAGACGGTGAGCACTCAGGTCATCCTGGAGGACGGCGCCTGGCCATTCTTGACTTGGAATCATGGCAAGGGCAAGCTGGAGATCAATCAGACCAAGAAAGGTTTGTCAATGAAGAGACCCTGCAGGAGACTCGGGAGCTGCTCTGTGCTCCTTCATCGGTGCTGAGGATGCAAGCTCTCAAACCTCCGCAGGGGGGTGACGCGATCCCATGCAGGCTTCAGATTGGTCTACGGGAGACCACGCTCTACGAGATGCTCTCCAAGCTCACGTACAGCAGTGTGTGGCAATTGCTCCAGATGACGTTCCAACCTCACAATGCCAAGCGATCCAATCTGGCCACGACCATTCATCAGAGCTTGCAATCAGAGCACAAGAAATCTCGCGCTCCGAAGGCGAAAGGGAAAGGCAAAGGCAAACGCTCTTTCTGACTGAGCCCTCCATGACTTTTGACCGAAGTGCTGCAAGGGAGGCCCTTTGTCGCATTCGCCTCCGGAATCCTGGAGATTGGTGCTATTTGAATGCCACCTTGACCGGCCTCCTTTGGATGCTGCTGAATGGCCCGGCTGACGCCACACCGGCTGAGGAAATCTCTTTGTACGCACTGCCGGCCATTGAGCCGCTGCTGCGATATTGGGGTGAGCAGCCAAACCAACCGTGCTGCGCAGCCGAGTTTCTCATGAGGGTTTTGGAGTGGGGCCAATTCCCTTTGTTGAGCCACTCCTGGGAGCAGAGATGGCTCCATGGGGACCGGGTGGAGATTCACGAAAAAGGCGGAGAGCATTGCCTGCTGACCTTTAATTGTCTAGCTGAACTTGACATGGCATCTCTCCACATCTCGGATTGCTTGGCCTCCTGGTTGCATCACTTAGGCATGCGAACAGCCTTTGTCTCAGCGACGCCCTTCAAATGCCTTCACATCGACAGGGGCTACTTGGTGCACAATGAGGCCTTGCGGATCCCGGAGATTCATTTTGAAGAGGTGATCCAGGTACCGATCTTTGACGGTGCCCAGCTGCACTTCAGCTACCGTCCATACCTGGCGGTGGCCATCCTGGCCCATTTTGGTGACAGGCACGGCGGGCATTATGTGGTGCTGTTGCGCCGCGAAGGGCAATGGATTGAGAAAAATGATGGAAGGCAGTTATTAGATTTGTATCGAGTATTGAGTTTCTCCTCCCTCCCCCGTTATTTTGCTGCTTTGCTACTGCAGCCGCCGCTTTGGTGTAATTGTATCTGTATCTAGCTTCTCCTCCCTCCTCGTTTTACTATACTGCTTTGCTACTGCAGCTGGCGCTTTGGTGTGATTGGATTTGTATAGAGCTTCTCCTCCCTCCTTTTTTGCTGCTTGGCTACTGCAGCTGCTGCTATGGTGTGATCGGATTTGTATTGAGTTTCTCCTCCCTCCTCGTTGTGTTGCTGCTTTGCAACTGCAGCTAGCTTCTCCTCCCTCCTTTTTTGCTGCTTTGCTACTGCAGCTGCCGCTTTGGTGTGATTGGATTTG